CCAGGGATTCAGAGGTAAGAAAGAATACAGGGATAATCACCATCATCACTTTAAGCACTTTCTATGTGCCAGTCACATGTATTGTCTCATTTAATTTACCCAGTGACCTAAGAGGTAGGTACTATTATTGCATCCATTTTGCACAGGAGGAAACTGAAAGGTCAGACTGGGTTAAGAACCTTGCCCCAGGTCACATATCTAGGAAATGTGGCAGTACTGTTCTTTGGAACCAAGCACTTGGACCCCAGAGCCCACCACCTGCTGAAGCACTATGATCTGCTCAAATGAAGGTAAAGGGAGTGGAAGCTGAGCCCTGAGCTGAATGGTAGAAGAGGGAGAATGTGGCCCCTTCAGCTTTTGTAGTTGGAAGCAGGCCCACCATTACAACAAACAGGAAGGGGATTCAGGTGATAGGCAGTCAAAAAAGGTAAACAAACAAACAAACACTACATATCCACTATGCAATAGCTTACAGTGACACTGAGGGTTAAAGGTATGATCAGACTTAACTCCAAGTGACTCTTGGCTATTCTAAAATACAATCCTTCCAGGCACCTGGGTAGCTCAGTCAGTTAAGCAGCCAACTTCAGCTCAGGTCATGATCTCATAGTTCGTGAGTTCAAGCCCTGCATCAGGCTCTGTGCTGACAGCTCAGAACCTGGAGCCTGCTTTGGATTCTCCCTCACTCCCTCCTCCTAGGACATAGTGAGTGTCTCCCTCACTCCCTCCTCCTAGGACATAGGTAAAGGATACGTTTGACTGCAAATATAAAAACACCCAATGTCACTGACTTGAACAAATAAGAATTTAATTTTTCTACTCTAACAAAAATTTTGGAGGGGGGTGATTACTGGAGATGGTTCAGTGTCCCAGTGACATCAGAATTAAATGTCTCTCTGCCATTCTCCTGTACTTTTCCCATAAGATCACAAGGTGGCTGCTATCGCTCTAAATATTATATCCAAGAAAGAGGGGTGTCTGGATGGCTCAGTCGGTTAAGTGTCTGACTTTGGCTCAGGTCATGATCCCGTGGTTTGTGGGTTTCAGCCCCACACTGGGTTCTGTGCTGACAGTTCAGAACCTGGAGCCTGCTTCAGATTGTGTCTCCCTCTCTCTCTCTGCCCCTTCCCTGCTCATGCTCGCTCTGTCTCTCTCTCTCAAAAATGAATAAACATTAAAAAAATTTTTAAGAGAAAGAGGGGAAGGGGAAGTGTAAAAACATCTGCATCGTCTCCTTTTATCAGGAAAACAAGAGTGCTTCCCAATGTTTCCCCTCCTGCTTTGCCACCTCCATACTTCTACTTGTGTCTCATTTGCGAAACTGGGTCATGTGGCCATCCCTAGCTACAAGAATGGGGAGAGATGAAAATAAGATTGGTCTACACCAATCACGAACCACTGCTAGGGCCTGGAACAGTGCTACAGTAGTAGACTTGGGGGGAAAAGGAGGAAGGTGGGTATTGGTATTTAAATTCCAGTATCAGATTTGGACATCACAGGACTGGAAGCTGGATACACAGCATAGGGGACAATGGATTCAATGGAAAAGTAACACAAGGAGTGGGAAAACACAGGGCATGTGGCAAGAACAAAGAAATCAGATTTGACTGGGGTATAGGCAGCTGCACTTTTGTAATTTATCCTATGGAAATAAAATCACTCACTGCAAGGATACAGACTCAAGAAATTTTGTCAGTTGAAAAAAAACTGATAACCTTTATGACCATTCCAGGGAAATGGGTGAATAAGTGGGTATCTTCATTTTACAGGATACTATGCAGCCAAAAATAAATAAATTACCTCTATATCTATAGACCCATTTGTTAGCAAGAAAGAACAAGCAACAGATAACTCACATATATTCATTGGTTGTATAAACAAGCAATAACATAATAGCCCCATACCTGGGTGGCTCAGCCGGTTGAGCATCCGACTTTGGCTCAGATCTTGATCTCATGGTTTGTAAGTTTAAGCTCTGTGTCGGGCTCTGTGCTGACAGCTCAGTACCTGGAGCCTCCTTCAGATTCTATGTCTCCCTCTCTCTCTCTCTCTGCCTCTCCCCCACTAGCACTCTGTCTCTCAAAATTGAATAAACATTTAAAAAAATTTTTTTAACCATAATAGCCCCATATATGTGAGCATAGTTTATATGAGCATGGTGAGTGTGGAGAAAGGGATAGAAGTTACATCTCCACTGTTAACACTGGATATCTCAGTAGAGTGGGTGAGAAATAGACAGGAGATGGGGGAGATCATAAAGTTTGTCTTTATGTATCTTTGAGTACTTTGCTGGTTGAAGTAAACGTGTTTCTTTATAATTTGGGGATGTAACTTAAAGCTTTTTAAAAGTAGTTTAGAACTAGATTATGAAGAGTCGAGTGTTTCACATAGATAATGGGGAGCCATTGAAGATTTGGGGGTAAGGGAATGATGTGATCAAGAAAATTAACCTAGCAAGAATATGTATGATAGATTAGAGGAAAGAGAGGCTGAGATGAACAATTAGAAGGTTCTGGTAACAGTAGCTCAGTCAGGAGCTAATAAAGTACTGAACCGTAATAGCAATAATATGTGAAGTGAGAAAGAGAGAAGGGAGCCCAGACTATAGCCTTGAGACATACATGTCTGAATGGTGGGAGGAGTGGTCATGGGGCATGGGCAGTGTTTTCCATATTCACCTGTGACAACTAGCACATCTTGCACTCTGAAAATCTGAATAAATGGCTGGCAAACCATAGATATTTCTCTTTTCCAATCTCCTTGAGCATTGACTTATTTGATATTTATAACATGTAGTTTCAAAATAATGGTTTTTCATGAGATTTTTTAGCCCCCTTATTAAATTGAAAATATCTTAGGATATGAGACCATAGAGAATACTTATGGGTGGCCCCCCCAAAGGGCAGTGAACCCCAGAAGTGATTGTTCATCCATTCAGCACAGCTGATGGTACATACAAATGCTCTTTCATTCATTCCTTGAAGGAATAGCCCCGTCCCTGCCCCCTTGGACTTTCCATCCAGTGAAGGAGACAGCCTCTCAACAGGAAATCCCCAGTGTGGCAAGTGCTCTGAGAGAGGGTTACGGGAGCCCTAACTCAGTACCAAGTGGGAGGGTGCAGAGAAGTGGTGTGAAAGCTGAGACATGAAAAAGAGTAATAAGCCAGGTGAAGAGAAGGACAAAGGTCATTCCAGATAGAAGGAAAAGCATTAACAAAGTCCCGAGGGAGGGAGTAGCTAATGGCACATTTGAGTAACCAGAAGACAATCTTTGATAGCAGGAGCTCAGGCTGAGAGCAAGTAGGAGACACAGAAAGGCAGAAAAGCAAGCTGAAGCAAATCAAGCCTCAGAGACCTGCCAGTCATGGGCTCAACTTGATCCTAAGAACAATAAGATCCTAAGGCTTTTGAGCAGAAGAGAAACATAGAATGATAGGCTTTTTAAAAAGATCACTCCAGCTTTGGCAGGGACTACAGGGAAACAAGGGAGGATGCTCATTGGTTTGGTTTCCCCATCAGGCTGAGAGCCGCTGGGGGCTGAGTTGAGCCCATCTCATTTACACTTTTCCCCACCTTTGTGCGGGTCCATCTCAGCAAGGCCTCAGGGGCAGGTAGATGTGGTTAACCTGCCCATGGACACTCCCTCCATAGGTAAGTAAAAGCCCAGCAAGATTTCCCGGGAGTGATGGATCGGAATGCTGAGGATCTGAAGAAAAGAAGGGATAAGAATGTGTATAAAATGGGAGTGAGGCAAGACCGATTTCTTCTCTCGGTACCTCAATTACTTTATCTGTAAAACGGGGTATTCATGGCTTACCTCAGAGACTTGCTTCGAAGATATTATTCATACAAGTACTTAGTATGTGGCACAAAGAAAACAATCAAAAAGTGTTAACTTTTGTTCTTGTTCGTCCTGAAAGACAGGTGGGACTCCGTGGTCAAGGATATGTATCCCCTACTGTCTTCGGGGGAGGACTGGTCGGATTCCAGAAGACGCTTGAGAGCCCCTGGGCCAGTCAGGTCTCGGGACTACCAAGAGACCAAAGTTTGACAAAATCCTACGTGCGAGTCTGGGCCGAGGTTGTTGGTGTGCATGTACTTCTGCTCACGTGATTTAAAAATCCTAACACAGAACATCCTGGTGGGGAAGAGGAGCCTCCACTGCCCTCCCCGGGTCCGGGGTTGTGCGCCGAGGCGCTGGGCTGGCGCCTGAGATTCAGCGGCCCAGCCGCTGGGGGCGGAGCCTGACGAGCTGGGGGCGGGTCGACGCGGTGGAGGGGCAGGGCCGGCGCCGCAGCCCTCGGCCCCGCCCCCAGCGGAAGTGCCGCTGAGCCCGCCCCTCCCTCCAGAGGCCGTTTCCCCAGGCTGGTCACCCGCCCGCTCTCCCGGGTGCAAGTCGGCTCCTGGAGAGAGTTCGGCCAGAGTCCCAACGCCAGGTCCGAAGAGGAGGACCCGGGTCTGCGTGTCTGGCTGTCTCGGGCAGTGCTCTCTGTCCCTCCCACTCCCCCGTCCTCCTTTCAATTCCTCTGTTACCAGCGCGGCCGCAGGCGCCGCGGGGAACCGCACAGGTAAAGACTCCGCTACTGAGGACACAGGTGTGGGTGCCTCCCTGAATGGACAGGCCAGGGAGAGGCTGATGGCACGTGCCCAGCTTTTTCCCAAAGCGATTGTATTGACAGTGGGGCTCCGGGTGGGCAGACGCGGACCCCAGGAGCGCTACATTGTACTGGGGAAGCAGAGGGGGCGGGACTGAAGCCCCCAGAGCTTGAGAGCCGGCTCATTTGTATCCCCGCGTCTTGCGCAGGCTCTGTAGTGCCTGGAAAGTGGTGAGCTGGTTGGGTCCGGGCTGCAGCTCCGGAGGGTTATCCCCCACCCACTCCCTGCGGCGACTGGGGTCTGACAGTCGCTCCTCCCGGGCGCACACAATCTGAGGTTTGCAGAATGAAAATCAATAAAATCAATGCAAATGCAAAGAACACGAAACGTGTTTGGTTGTTGTTATTTGCGTTAAATTCTTTTATTTGTATGTTTTTTTTCCTTCTTGCAAAAAGTGGCTTTGGCTCGGATCCGGGCCTCGAAGAGGGAAGCAAAATGCCCCGGGTCTCCCTGCAGGAGGCGGGGGTCTGTCCTCGGTCCCGAGCGGCGCAAACTTCCCGGAGCTGCAGTGCTGGGTCCAGCGGCTGGAGGGGAGGCCCCCGGTGTGTTCGGCTTCCGGATACGGCTTTTCCCCCCTGCGCCTCATTGTCCGCACTTTAGGGAGAGGCCCCCCCCTCTCCTTCGCATTTTCCCGGTTCACCAACCCCACGCCGAGGGGGCCATGCCTCCTCCCCTCCCCCCCCCCCAGCTCTCCCCGGCGCTTTAAATAATGATATTTGCATGCAGGGAGCGATTCATAAATATGTCAGGGCCGGTGAAATATAGGCAACATTTCAAACTTTCTATTTAAAAAACATGAATTATGGCCGCGGAAAATGTGTTCCCATTTAAAGGCGATACGAAGTATTTGGTGTCTCGTCCCCGGGCCCATCCATCACTCAGACAATAAAGAGAGTTTTTCGCCCTGACACCCGCGATTTATGGGCGCCCTTCTCTGCCCTCATCACTCACCCGCCGCGGCCGGGCCGGCGACAGGCCGGGCTGAGAGAACGGCAGCCACCCCCCACCCCTGCGCCGGCCCGCGCGCGCACTGTGCGCCCTCACCAGCCCCCCAAGGCCTCCGCTCCCAGGGGGGAAGCGCCCGCTCCGGGGAGTTGGGAGATCGGTGGTGAAGGTCCAGGCAGCCGAACGACAGCTGAAGTCAAACTCGTCCTCTCACCTCAGTGCAAGCCTCTTTTAGGGGCTAGGGCTGAGCCCGCCGGGAACTGCGTTGCGGGCCCGCTCAACACCGGGGCCTCGCCCGCTAACCGCAGCGCCGCGCTTAAGTTTCCAGCGCAGGCTGCGAGAGGTTATTTACGTGCGGGTTCGAGGTGAGGGGAGAGGACTGGGCTGGGGGGTTCCCAAGCCGATGTCTGGGCATTCTCCGGGGAAGGCGAGCTGTTTTCAAGCTTCCTTGAGCCTTGCTTGGCGGATGCTCTTTCCGCAACTTTTACAAAGCTTCCTTCTCCCTGGTACGATCCGCCCTAACACATCCTGGGCGTCCGGGACACCTTGGAAACTATTCTTACGGACAGGGGCCGAGGAGTTGGCGAGAAATAGGAAGGGGAGGCGCCTTTCCTAGCTATTCGCCTCGGGCCAGGCTCGGCTGCCGCAAGCCGCCTTTGCCCACCGCCCACACCTTGCGCGCGCACTTACCAGCGCGCAGTCCTCCCTAAATCACCACCGAATCATTGTGGCAAACTTGCTTCGAAGAAAGTTCGGGCTTCATTTGCCGCGAAATTTGCTTTCAGTTTTCGCCGTGGGCGGACTCGGCCAGGCTAGCCCCGAAGCACCACCAGGGTTGGGGGCGCTGCCTGGCCTGCCGGGAAACGAGGGGCAGCTCCCGGCCTCAGAGCGTTGATAGTCCAGCGCAGCCGCGTGATCACCGGGAGCCACCCCGAGTCCCGCGCTGGGCCGATGCATCTGCGTACACTCGAACCGGGAGCCGTTTCCTGGTGCATGCCTGAGAGCTGAATTTATTCGGCTGTAGTGAGCGCAAACCGCAGAGAAATCCCGTCGATTCTAAAAATGACAAGGTTGAATTTATTAGATCAAGATTCATGTCTAAGTGCAGGGAGATGAATATTATACAAACAGCGCCAGGTCCAGTGTGAACGGAAGATCGCTTCCGGTTTCAAGGCATGTAACCTAACGTTTGAATATTTAGATCTACAGAGGGGTATAAAATATTATTAGATTCTTGGTGTGTGCACACACAGTCAAGTTGAAAAAATTCTAGAGCAAGTGTTTTTTTTTTTTGTTTGTTTTTTTTTACAGCTCCTGCTTGAGTGTAATTCGGGCTCCAGATAGCCTTATGTCCAAATAACCAACCAGTGAATATTTCCTATATCCAGAGTGAGTTCTGCTATGTTGAGGGGTGCAGTATGTGTACTTCTTTAAATATCTGCGGCGTGGAAGAAGTGAAATAAATACATTGAAGAAGAGCGGGCACACAGATAACTGAATAACTGCATCGCTACAATATTTCCGAGTATGGAAATAAATATTATTCCAGGTTGGCTGTGGAAGGTGTACACAACTTAGGGGGGCTTTTGGAAACCCGAGGTGGGAGCCACAGGTCCTGAAGTGCTGGATCGAGCACACTGAGGTGGGCCCCAATGGAAACCTCGGACCCTGGCGTGACTGCTCAGAGTGGCTCAGCCCGAATGGCCAATACTGTCTTGCCTCCGGGGTTCTCCGGGATACACGCTCGGAGAGAGAGACATCACTAGGCGCTGAACCTGGCATTTACGATAGAAGGACCTGGGGTCCTGCCGGTAGACATTTACCCCTTAGCCACTTCAACGGCCCCTCAATCGTGGCTCCACCAGGCTCAGGCCGTGGCCATTTGGGCCTATCGATTTGGAGCAGGAGCGCGTAAAAGGCGGGTCGCGCTTGGTTCCAAGTCCCAAAGTGCAAAGCCGGAGGACACCGGAGAAGGCCACGATTTCGCGTCCAGGCGGAATCCGGGCCCCACGCGGCCTGGGGAGGGCCAGTTTAAAGCCATGGGAGTGACTGGCTGCATTTACTTATTAAGTGTTAGGCATCCCCTCACAAACTCAGCACTGAGGCCCAGATGCCCCTAGGGTCTCCTCGGTATATTTGCAAAGCCCAAGAACGCCAGGAGCGGGGTGGGCGACGTTGCAGCTATGAAATTCCAAGGTCAAATATTAATTCCAGAATTGGGCGCTTGCAAGCGTCCAACCGTCACACTACCCTGCTACCCTGGTCTTTTTTTTTTTTTTTTTTTTTTTTCCCTCAGCCCTTCAAACGCACCCTGGCACAGGGGCAGAGCTTCTGAGAGCCCCTGCTTGGGGAGAAATTAGGCAGGACTCTGTCAGGAGTTCCTGGGAATTGCACACACTCCTGAGGAAGCCCTGCCGCAGAGGGGAAAAAAAACAAACAAACCCGGGCGCTGAGAATGCCTTGCTTCCCAGAGTGTGATTGAGCCGAAGTGGTATATACTGTATATGGAGAGGAGTGAGAGAGAATAGGAAATATTCCCTGTCAAGTAGGAAAAGGAGGAAAGGAAGAGGGGAGAAAAGAATAAAAAGGTTATGGAGTCTAGAAAGAAGCGTGTGAGGAAACAAAAAAGGGAATAGAGGAGAAAAAGCCAGGAGAGGCGAGCCGAAAAGAGTTACAGGCCTTGGCCAGGCCCCGGGACCAAGACCAGGCCAGACCGTGACTCCGGCGGGCCCGGTGCCACCGCAGGCCCGAGAAGAGGTGAGGGCTTCGCGAGAAGGTCCCCCACCAACCCTGCGAATCTGGGCCCCGCTTCCAGTCGGAGAGGCGGGCCTAGGTCCAGCGGCCTCCGCCTGCTCCATCTCTTCCCCCTTCCTGGGGACCACAAGGCGGGGCGGGACCAGGGGTGGGGAGGCCCCCAGGGGCGCGCGCCAGTCCCGGACTGTTTGGGCGCTCTGGGCCAGGCTTTCCAGCTCGCCGGGCCTGACCTGTCAGGCGGATTATCTTCGAGGGAGATTAATAGGGGAGGCGGGCTGCAATAATAATCGTTTTGTTTGATGTGACAACTCTGATAGGCGTTGATTTACTTACAAACTGATAGGCTTTTAATTGAGCGCCTCCGCCGAGCCCGAGATGAAAGGGAAGCGGCGGTGAAAGGCGGCCCGCCTGCCCTCCGGCCTCAATACTGATTAGCCATCTCGACAGTGAATAGTTCAAGGCATTTTCAAACTTTTTTCCTCAGCTCTCTCGCCTTCCATCCCCTCCCACCCCCTCCTCAAATATCTGCCATGCCCATTCCTTTTTTAGAGAAAACAAATCATTTACACTGTGTGCAAATAAAATCCACAGGACATCCACGCCAACCGCCGCTTGGGGTTGGAGGCTTTAGGCCTAGCGCGGAGTATTTAATAACTCCCCCACCCGCAAAGCCTGCAAGGCCTTCAGGGATTTGGCCTCCCCTGCGAGACGCGCAGGCTCGGATGCCGGAGCCTCCCAAAAGCCCAGGGCGCGCAGGCCCCCAGGCGCCCCCGTGCGCTCGGACCTTCAGAGTTGGGTTTGCGAAGAGCGAACGCACGCGGACCACGACCCGCGCGCGCGCGGCTCGCCGCAGGCCTGCGATCGTGTGCGGCCACACCGTGGCACGCCCATTTGGGGGCACGCGGGGCCCACTCTCTGGCTCCCCGAGGTTTTAGGGCTGGGATTGCCGCCCCTGAATCGCCCAGGGCAAAGAAAAAGCTGCTGGAATTCCGGGAGAGGGACAGGACTGAGTCTGGAGACAACCAGGGACGGAGAGGACGCCCGCGGTCACCTCCAGGTCTGGCCGCCGCCCCCAGCACTCAATGTCCGAGCTTCACAAGGAGGCTGCGTCGACGCGCAGCCCACCGCGGGGCTAGTGAAGCTGGGAGCTCTACAGTTGATCCGGGCGACACCTCGACAGCAAAGCACTCACTGATGCAGACAGACACTAACACACCCGCTGGTTACAAGCGGCCTCCCCCACGCGCTGCCCTGTATAGACAGCTTGGGACTGTCCCGCCCTCAGAAACGGGCACCTGGGACTCACCCCCCCAAAGATGATCCAGACAACCTTCACAACCTCGCGTGTAGCCTCGTCACCATCTCACGGACTCACCTTCCTCAGTTGTCGCATAGGCAGACACTCCAAATCTCCTTGAACGCAGGTGTGTTCTTACAGCTACACACACGCACACATACACACATCGACAAACAACAGCCCAAAAAACACGCCGCCTCACTTCGCTCTTCTCCTAATTATCTTTAGTCAAGTTACAATCCCATGAAGTTTACCAACCTAAAGAATCAAGAGATAAGATTAAAACGCAGAAAAAGAATGCCTACGAGAGAATTCTAAAACTCACCCCCAGAAAGTTCTCGGTACCTGTGTAAAGTGGGAGAGAGACAAAAAAGGGAGAGAAGGGAATGGGGTGGTGAGACAGGAGAGGGCGAGTCTGCGGAGGGCAGGTCCCAGACCCGACCCCCGCGGTTTGGAGCTCAGCGCCGGTGGAAAACGGGTCTCCAGACCCGGCCCTTGCCCCCCGCGCGGGTAGAGACGGGTTCCTGGCTCCCCGCTCTCCCTGCCCCACCATTTATCAAAGGACTTGACAACAAAAGAAGAGCCAGGGCGGAAAAGTGGGGGAGGGGAGATTCAAAGTCGTCCAAGTCCTTCTGAGGAAGGAGATGTGCCTTCCTCTCGCCCCCTTCCAGTTTCTGCGAGTTTCTGGAGGCGACCCCCGAACTCGCTCCGGACGCTCCCACAGCCCTGACAACTCACACGGCGGCACAGACGTGCACACAGACTTGTGCACCCAGCTCCAGGTACACAGAGGCACGCACAGCGCCTCCCCTCTTCCTTCCAAATCGCCCGAGTGACAGTGCAAATCGAGGGGAACGCGGCAGTCCCGCTCCGCTTCCCTGGAAGACCCCCGTTCCTACGGGCAGCCGGCCCCTCCCTGTCTCGCTCCTTCCCTCCGCTTCCCCAACGCAGGTCAGTCCCCGCTCGGCGTTCCTATCTATTCGGAACTCTGGCTACCAAACCTGCGGGGATACCGCGGGGTGGCAGAGGATTGGGGACAGGGCCTGAATCAGTTTGAGACGTTTCTCCACCCGACACCCACGGACAGGCCTCCTCGAAACCTCTCAGCTCTAGCTACGATCCGAAGGGAAGTAAAAGAATGAAGACCGGGAGGAGGTACCCCACCATTGACCTCCGGGACTCAAAGTTACATTGGTGGCGTGGCTCTTAGAAAGAAGTCTGAGTTTCGGGTCGGGGCACTACGAAAGGCGGACTCCGCGGCAGGCTGGCAGGCTGGCATCCTCACGCTCCCGAGGGACTCTCCGGGGGACAAAAATATCTCCCTTCTTAGACGTCGGCGCCTCCCGCCTCGGGTACCCGGGGCAGCTCCTCCCTCCGCGGCCCCAACAGACTCAAGTCCCAGAGGTAGAAAGGTGTATCTTTCTTCCACACCGAGGGGGGCTAAGCGCACACCCCAGGCCTGTGCAACCCTCTTAGCGCCCTGGGCTCACCTGCGCACTTTACCCTCACTATTCATTTTCCTGACACCGAGAGCCTCTTTTCCTCTCTTTCATTCTTTTTCTTAGAGCCGCCCCCACCCCATCCCAGGAGGCTGTCCCTCCTTCCCCCTCCGTTGGTTTCCCCCTTGGTCTCTTCCTTACTCTCCATCTCTCTCTCCCTCTCCCTTTTTCCCCTTCAAGTCGCACCCGCCTTGTAATCAGCAACAAAAGCTGACATAAATCACAGGCGGATTGACAAGAGCTGACAAATAACTGATTGATTGCGGTCGAGGAACATTGACAATTGATGGAGGGGTGGAGATGCCCAAAGAACTGAGGAGAGGGGGAGAGAGGAGAAGCGAGGGTAGCAGGGGAGAGTAAGAATGGGGAGGGGGGACGGAGTGTGAAACAGAGGAAACATGTGACCCCCGCTCCTCCCCCAATCTGCTTGTCCCCGGGCGTCACGTGGCCGGGAAGGGCTGGGAGCCCCGCGCGCAGCCCGGAGACGAGCCGCCGCCGCCTCCGCTGCCCACCTAGCTTCTGGTTTCTCTGCTGCCGAATCTCGGGAAACCAGAGCGGGCGGGCGGACTTCTTCCGTCACCCGCTCCCCACCTTTCCTTACCCAGGCGGCCGCGCCGCGACAGATTTCAGTTACTGAGCGAGATAAAATATTTGGTGTGTGGGTCCCCTGTGCGCCCCTGGAGTTGACAGTCCAGCTGTTGTCCAGACTCCCGCCGTTGCTCCTTCTGGACACCCCCTCAATCTGTTCCTCTTACGCACCCTCCTGCAAAAAAAAAAAAAAAAAGGTTTCAGTTTATTTTCTAGCCAGGAAAAAGAAGGACGACGAGGTAGAAAAAATAGAGGGAGGCGGCAGACAGCAAACGCAGAATAAATGTCCAGGTCGTCCTCCGAACGAAATCGAGGGGGGGGGGGACACGCGGGAGGGGAGCGGTGAAGAAGGAGCTGCCCATTAAAACCAGCGCTGAGAGTCCTGGCGGCTGCGGCGGCGGCGCGGGACGCGTCACATCCCCTTGACCCTCCAATCACCTCGGGCTCCCATTTGATTGGAAGGCGGCAAAGGCTTTAATCTCCCCCTCGGTGCAGCTGCTTTTGAAGTGAGTTTCCTCGCCAGAGCCCCGGCTGGACAGGCAGCGGCTCACATCGCCAAGCGCAGCGCCAGCGCCGGGTCGCGAGCGCGCAGCGCGGGGGCATAGCCCGAGGCGGACACGGCGAGCCACCGGGCACTCCCACAGTCCGGCCGGCTCCTCCCGCTCGGCCACGGCACTGCTGCGGGCCACCCAGGATTATTCGCTTCTGGCTCCAGGCGCCGAGAAGGCGCGCTGGGTGCCGGTGGCCGCCGCGCCAGCTCCTCCTCCTCCTGCTTCTGCTCTCGGGGCGAGCGCGCAGCCCGGAGCCCGCCCCCCGCTGCTCCCATGCGTGCGGGTGGGTCATGAGCACAGCGCCCTCGCTTTCTGCCCTAAGAAGCAGTAAGCACAGCGGCGGCGGCGGCGGCGGCGGCGGCGGCGGCGGCAGTGCGGACCCTGCCTGGACCAGCGCGCTCTCTGGAAATAGCTCTGGCCCCGGCCAAGGCTCGTCCCCGGCCGGCAGCACCAAGCCTTTTGTGCACGCTGTGCCCCCCTCTGACCCTCTCCGCCAGGCTAACCGCCTGCCCATCAAGGTGCTGAAGATGCTGACGGCACGGACTGGCCACATTTTGCACCCGGAGTACCTGCAGCCCCTGCCTTCCACTCCCGTCAGCCCCATCGAGGTAAGGACCCTCTCCCCGGATAGCGCTGAGACCACCACCCTGGCTGCCGCTTCACGGGATTTCTTTCTCTCGGGATCTGGGGGTGGGGATAGGGGGTTCAGAGTGATTCAGTTCCGGGATTGGGGAGAGCACATAGTGCTCCCGCACCTTAAAACTAGGGCAGAAACGGGGGAAGAGGTAGAATGGGGTGTGAATGCTAAGGGACAAAGCAGCTAAAACTTATTTCTCCCTTTGGTATTAAAGCCTCTACCCTGACTCAGGCCCCCTCACTTTCCGTCTGGAAGACAGGCGGAAGTCCGAAATGCCGTTCCAAAGTCGCAGTCTTAAGGGTCCCCAAAAGCTGATATTTGTACACAGCCTCTAAGGCGCCAACTGTCTGAGCCCTTACTCTGAATAAATAGGTGTGTGTGTGTGTGTGTGTGTGTATGGGGGGGAGAGGTATAGTTTTGGGTCTAGGAATCAGAAACCGAAACATTTCCGAGTATTTTAAAAAATACAGTTGGCGCTTATAGAAGGCAGAATATACCCTGATTTGGCGGGGGGGGGGGGTCCTTTCTCAAGGGCGAGTGTGTGTGTGTCTGCTGAGGGGTGTGGGGGTGCAGCCTAGGATTGCGCCTGGCTGGGAGGATCTTAACTGGCAGTTTATGGAAGGGCATTTGAACCCTAGAAGCCAGGATTCTAAAGGGTTTCCCCTTCTTTCTCTTTGTGCCACCCCCCAACCTCACGTCTGACCCCGCAGCTTGATGCCAAGAAGAGCCCGCTGGCGCTGTTGGCGCAAACATGCTCGCAGATCGGGAAGCCCGACCCCTCGCCCTCTTCCAAACTCTCCTCTGTCGCCTCCAACGGGGGCGGCGCGGGCGGTGCCGGCAGCGGCACCGGGGGCGACAAGGACGCAAAGTCGGGCCCCCTCAAGCTGAGCGACATCGGCGTGGAGGACAAGTCGAGTTTCAAGCCGTACTCCAAACCCGGCTCGGATAAGAAGGAGCCGGGAGGCGGCGGCGGCGGAGGCGGTGGTGGCGGGGGCGGCGGCGGGGGGGTTTCAGCAGAAAAGTCTGGATTCCGGGTACCGAGCGCCACCTGCCAGCCATTCACACCCAGGACAGGCAGCCCAAGCTCCAGCGCCTCGGCCTGCTCGCCAGGAGGCATGCTGCCTTCGGCCGGGGGCGGCCCGGAGGGCAAGGACGACAAGAAGGACCCCGACGCGGGCGGCGGCGGCGGCAAGGGTTCCGGGGGCGCCTCCGCCGAAGGGGGACCCACAGGGTTGGCGCATGGCCGGATTAGCTGCGGCGGAGGGATTAATGTGGACGTAAACCAGCACCCAGATGGGGGCCCCGGGGGCAAGGCTCTAGGCTCAGACTGCGGTGGTTCTTCGGGCTCCAGCTCCGGCTCGGGCCCCAGCGCGCCCACCTCGTCCTCAGTGCTGGGCTCTGGGCTGGTGGCTCCGGTATCGCCCTACAAGCCGGGCCAGACAGTGTTCCCTCTGCCTCCCGCGGGCATGACCTATCCAGGCAGCCTCGCCGGGGCCTACGCTGGCTACCCGCCCCAATTCCTGCCACACGGCGTGGCGCTTGACCCCACCAAGCCGGGCAGCCTGGTGGGGGCGCAGCTGGCGGCAGCCGCGGCGGGCTCTCTGGGCTGCAGTAAGCCGGCGGGCTCCAGCCCCTTGGCCGGGGCGTCGCCGCCATCCGTGATGACAGCCAGTTTGTGCCGGGACCCGTACTGCCTCAGCTACCATTGCGCCAGCCACCTGGCAGGGGCGGCGGCAGCCAGCGCTTCGTGCGCTCACGATCCGGCCGCGGCGGCCGCGGCGCTCAAGTCCGGATACCCGCTGGTGTACCCTACGCACCCGCTGCACGGTGTGCACTCTTCGCTAACAGCTGCCGCCGCTGCCGGCGCCACGCCGCCCTCCCTGGCAGGCCACCCCCTCTACCCCTACGGCTTCATGCTCCCTAACGACCCGCTCCCCCACATCTGCAACTGGGTGTCGGCCAACGGGCCCTGCGACAAGCGCTTCGCCACGTCCGAAGAGCTGCTGAGCCACTTGCGGACCCATACGGCCTTCCCCGGGACAGACAAACTGCTGTCGGGCTACCCCAGCTCTTCGTCTTTGGCCAGCGCCGCAGCGGCCGCCATGGCTTGCCACATGCACATCCCCACGTCGGGCGCCCCGGGCAGTCCCGGGACGCTGGCGCTGCGCAGCCCCCACCATGCGCTGGGACTCAGCAGCCGCTACCACCCCTACTCCAAGAGCCCGCTGCCCACACCCGGCGCTCCCGTGCCGGTGCCCGCAGCCACCGGACCCTACTACTCCCCCTACGCCCTCTACGGACAGAGACTGACCACGGCCTCGGCACTGGGGTATCAGTGAGGGCGGTGGGGAGGGTTAGCAAGGGAGAGAAAGGAGCTGGGGGGGGGAGGGAGGAGCCGAGGGAGGGGCGGGAACAGGGCAGGGGCCACTGTCACCCGCGCGTGGGGATGACCCGGGCCAGGAAAGGAAAAAAAATATATATATATATACCGTATCTAACTACCCAAAACAGCGACCGAGACCCGGTGGGAAACTCCCCTTTCCTCCACCTCTCATTTCCCCAGCCACGCAAACTTTATAAAAGTTGAAAAAATATCATTTGACTTTTTATAGAAAAAGAAGGAAAAACTAATTGAGAAAGTGTTCATCTGAGGACTGCATCGGTGGACACTGGTATTTATTTATGTTAGCTCCAAGCGGACCCGTGGTTCAAAAGTGCATTATTTAGTTTGATCTCCGTAGGTAAAAAGGAGGAGGGGTTAAAAAAATTAATCTTGAGGGTAAAAATGTGGAAAACAAACCCTCCTGTCCCTTGTAGATTATAAATAAATACAAAACCGCCACAGAACTAGAGGTCTTCTCTTTAATGTTACTTTAAATTGCTATTATTGTATTGTACGTTCTTATTTAATGTCTGATTGAAACACAAATTTACATGCATGTTTGTTACAAAAAATGAAAAAACAAAACAAAACAAGTCACAATTTGTCAGCTCTGATTTCAAATTGCAATTATTTTTAAGGTGTATACCATCGAAAGAGAATGGGTATTTTTTTGTATGTATTCTGGAAGAAAACAAAAAAAAAGGAAAAACAATTCTATTCCAAAACCTCATTTGCCTTATTTTGTTCTTTAAAAGGAACACAACTATTTTTAATTTTTAAGTCCACCCGCTGAGAAGGGGACTAGTAAGGTTTACGTCATGTACTA